AAAAAAAAAAAAAAGAAACAGCATTTCAGCCTTTTATGCTGTAAGTAAAAAATAGCTTTTTACCTGTTTGTGGCCTCTGACTTTTCCCCGTCACATCAGTGGTCGGTGGTCAGAACCAGTCATCCTCTAAGTCTGATAAGCATCATTGTGTTATTGTTTTCTGTTCTTAGCCCACTCTCATTTGCTATGAGTCCCTTTATTTCCATAAGATTTAATATTCTATGATAGACCCGGTTTGGTTTTTGATGGTTTCTAGTTAGGCTTCCTACCAACACTTAATTTATCTTCGAGCACCTCTGACCAGGAAATGTTCATGAAAGTCACACCCTTCGTAAGGTTCTGTATGACTGTTTTATACCAGTCTTAGCTACATCAAGTGGCTCTTTTTAAATACGTTATTTTAAAGCAGTTTTTATCGTATCAATGTTAGGAGAAAGCAGTTGAAAACCAGAAAACAAGAGACGGTCCCTGGTCCCTCTGTCTCATTCTCCCGTTCTCTGTCTCCAGAGTGGCAGGCAGCACTCTGCCTTTTCTGCAGAATCAAGTCGGAGCCTTCTGATCTGTTTGCTCTGGGTTCTCAAAAACGCAGATGAAACAGTTCTACAAAAGTGGTTTATGGATCTCTCCGTCCTGCAGCTAAACCGCCTGTTAGACCTGCTTTACCTCTGTGTGTCTTGCTTCGAGTACAAGGTAAGTGGTCGTCACAGCGTTGCAAGACTCAGGAAACAGCGCAGGACAGGGGGAACATTTCCTTAATAGCACGTCTTTTCTGTTGTTTGATTTTAGGGGAAAAAAGTGTTTGAAAGAATGAATAGTTTGACCTTTAAGAAATCTAAAGACATGAGAGCAAAGCTGGAAGAAGCTATTCTGGGGAGCATCGGGGCCCGGCAGGAGATGGTCCGCAGAAGCCGAGGACAGCTCGGTATGTACACAATGACTTCTCCTTCTGGTGAGGACTTTTCAATTTCCTTCAGTCATATGTTGTAATGATCTTTGTTGCTAGTCTTAGTGACAATTTTATACTTCTACACTGTGAATTAACTTGAATACTCATCTCTCATGAGGAAGGCAGGTTGTTATAGGGCTCTGATTAAGAGGGGTAAATAGACTTCCCAGTTTGCTAGATCATCTCAGTTTCTGCCCTTCTGTGGTTATTAGAGCATTCATACCCCCTTAGGGTGTGAATTACAGGGTGTGCTGGCTCATACCTGTAATCCCAGCACTTTGGAAGGCTGAGGAAGGAGGATCATTTGAGGCCAGTAGTTTGAGACCAGCCTGGGCAGCATAGAAAGACCCCCTCTCTATAAAAAGTTTGAAAGACATGCACCTTAGTCCCAGTTACTCGGGAGGCATAAACGGGAGGGTTGCATTACTCGAGACTCTGAGATTGCAGTGAGCTGTGATCATGCCATTGCACTCTAAGCCTGAGTGAAAGAGCAAGACACTGACCTTGAAAAATTTTTTAATAAAAATAAATGAATTCATTGATTACATAAACTTCATTTTTTAGAGCAGTTTTAGGTTTACAGCAAAATTGATCAAAAGCATAGAGATTCCCCATGTATCTCTCCCCCATAGAGATTCCTCATGTATCTCTCCCCCATAGAGATTCCCCATGTATCTCCCCCCCATAGAGATTCCCCATGTATCTCCCCCCATAGAGATTCCCCATGTATCCTCCCCCCATAGAGATTCCCCATGTATCCTCCCCCCATAGAGATTCCCCATGTATCCTCCCCCCATA